AGGGGGGGGGGGGGGGGGGGGGAGGGTATGAAAAACAGGCAAGAGAAAGGATAGCTTCAGTGTGTACCTTTGCCAGCAAGGGACAAGTGAGGCCAAAGGGGAAGAATCTTGATTATTACAGAGAGTTGGTGGAGGCATGGGGCTGACTGCTTTTGCCAACTGTGGGCTCTAGTTGCTCCTTTTTGAATGTCAGATCTGCCTGTAATAAATCTGTCCTGATCCACAACCTGATCATGAATGTGCAGGCAGATCTAGCTTGTATTACCAAGAGATTTGGATTTTTTAAAGTTAGTGATGATAATAACTTTACAATACCTTTTATCAGACTTTTGTTCATGATATGAACATGTGTAAAATTCTCCTTAGTGCCTGGCAGCATCTCAGAGGATGTTTATCACTTATTTAAGATATTTCCACTTATATATTACTTCTACTTTTCATGTGAAAAAAACAGTTCTAACATTATTTTATGCTCTTAATAAGATACTTAACTTCTTCTGTAAGAAAACAGCCCATAAAATAATATTTTCCAGCACACTTTGCTAGCTACTTTTTGTTTGTTCAAATTTCATATGCCCACAGAGGTTATACATGTTTCCAGGAGCATTAACCCTATAGGGGCTAGCAGCTTAAAACTAGTCAGTTTATTTGTGCTATTTTTTTTTTTTTTAATCTTACAGGCACAATTTTCAGAGGTCAATTTGATAGCTCATGCTGATGGGAATTACTCTGTAAATGTACAAGCTTTTCGAAATGGCACTAAAGTTGCCAGGTAAGTTGTTTTACTGTTCACCTTTCAGAATTAAGATTAACATAAATCAATACAAAACATGATCATGAATAACATCCTTTACTACAGTTAGAATCTGTTCAGGTAATTTTTTACAGCCAGGGTACATGGACTATTTAAGTTGTTTCATCATCTTCCAGATAATTTCATAAGTAGCAACCCTTAACAGAATAGAGCTGGCTGGCTCATTTATTTATTTATCTAAGATAAAATATCCAAATGGGATCCCATTTTGTTCTAATTAATATGAAATTTAGGCTAATAGGTCTACCTATATGGTCACCAAGAATTGGCACTGACTTGATGGCACAAAACCAATCAATCAATCAATCTGGTTAGCAGGGTTTTCTTGTGTGTGCCTTATTCCAGAAAACAATGCTATTTTGTGCTCCTAAATTTCTCTTCCTTAATTTCAGATATGCAAGTATAATTTAAATAATAGAGCAATCATCTTACAATATTCCTGGAAACAAATTTGCAGAACCTTAAAATTTGTATAAGAGCTATGGAGTTACAGTGAATGAAACAGTTAAAGGGTTACTGACTTTCTCTTTGGACAGCACTAAAGTCATTGAAAGCCTATTTGAACAAAAGTAGATGTTAAATGTGAAACAAAGAGTGACAAAAACAGAAGGATTGAAATATGAAGCAATTCTAAATAAGTACCCAGTGTTAAAGTCCTTCCAAATTTCACAGATGGCAACAAATTCATTGTTATATTTTCTGGTCCTAGGAAAGAAAATTAGGGAAGAGAATGAGTTCTACAACAATCAGGTCTTTAAATTACGACTTCAACATCATTCTCTACCCTGGCATATTCATTTCCATTTGACTCTCACTCAGCTCAGGGTAAAATTTATCAGTTGCTGGTTTTGGTTTTGTTGCATCAGAAGTATGGGTATGTGTCTGCAGAGACCAGTGTATCAAAACATTCTGACTTGGATAACAGGAACCTCACCCTCTAACCATCTATAAAATGATAGCCTGCAAAAAACTGCCTGAATTCCAACATCATGAGGAGATTTCTTCATGACTGCTAGTTAGTAAAATTCTTTTCTTTACCAGTCTCTACCACCACCACCACCACCAACAAAGTAGAATAATTGTTTGCTTTCTTCTAGCCTTTTTTCCCTTTCTTTGGGAGGAATTTTTTCATTGTACTGAAGCCTATGGCCTCAACAAAATGAAAACATATAGGGAGATACTATTCACCACAGGAGAAATTCTAGGAGTTCCCTATATGGGCCTTATTCCAGAACCACACACTTCTACATCCTCCAGCTCAAAGATGCATACTTCCATATAGCTATTCAAAATAACCATTCTTGGATCCTATGCAATGATATACTCTATTCTGTACTTAAGCAAGCTCACCAAGGAAATAGCATTGAAAGGTGTAAAGGAATTGGAGATTCAGGAAATGAGCCAAAGTCAAATGTGACAGATGTTCTTGTAACTCAAAGTCTGTGAAGCTGGGAATCATGGAATCATAAATTACAAATCAATCATGTTTCAATAGTGGATGTCCAGAGAGTGGGCTCAAGAGGGGCAGATGGCAACATGGGATTGTGATGGCCCAACATAAGCTCCATGCCTTTTGTATGCATCTCACAAATCTCGTATAACTACTTGCAGCATGACACCATGATACATGTTCCATTATGTTGATAATATCTTCAGATACTGTGAATATCATTGTTTCAACAGCTTTGTCATGTCTAGGTTGATCTGTAAATGATCCTGCCCCAAAACACTGGCTTTGTTCAAGTCTGGTTTCCTTCAGTAGGTTATTCCTGAGTACTTCCGAGTAGCCCTGTCTGATTTAGCTATTTTTTGACATAACCAATCACCCCTGTGTCTTTCTGTCTTTTGACCTTCTGCCTTAAGACAACAGCATTCTTGAGGACTGTATGGAGCAGGCTGCTGTCTAAGTCAGAGTCTGCTGAATCCAGACAGGGACAGTTGTATTTTTGGCATAATTATGAGGGCTTGGAACTCTTGGGACTAGACAAGGGCAAACCACTTCTGAAATATTGCCAAGAAAACTGCACAAACTTCTGTAGGCAGTTGCAGGAGTCAACACTGAATCAAAGGAACAACAACAACAAAAAAGTTTCAGTTTAATGTTTTTCCTGCAGATGTGATTTTAATCTACCTCTTCTAATTCAGTTGCTCGTGTTTCTCTAGTAAGTTTCTAATGTATTTGTTTGCTTGCTGTTAAACTCAATTCTCTTTAGGTCATTCAAGCCTGACTTTGTTCTTGTCCGGCAACACTCATTCAGCATGGCCGAAAATGAAGATTTTCGTAATTTAATTATTGGAATGCATTATGCGAGCATCCCAAGTGTTAACTCTCTAGAGTCAATCTACAACTTCTGTGACAAGCCCTGGGTAGTAAGTAACAAATCCTAATACAATAATAATAATAATATGTTTCAATGTATAATTGAATGATAACATATTTGAAGGTTGAATTGGGGAAGGGAAAGGAAAATGTGTAACATTTAGCCCTATGTCTGCCCGCGTACACGTGCACAACTTTATTAAAACGTTTACATTTGAATTCTGTCTCAAAACCTTGAATTATATAAACATATTCCTTCATGCTTTTTAATCACTATGAATATTTAGTGCTTAATATCTTAACATTTAATGCTCATAGTTTTCACCTCATCTTCTTGTGGCTTTTATTATTGCTAAGGTTCTCATAACTTTGCAGATAAAAGAACTGTAATTAGTCTTGTACAAAGTTAGTAAAGTAGCTATTATTAGTAAAGGTTAGTGCTATTTCTATGGAATAATAAGAAAAGACTTTTACAACACCTCTTTTTTTCTTTTAGCCATATTATTATGATTGAGGACTTTGAAGTATTTTTTATTGTAGTGCTGTAGTTTCCGTTTCTGTGAAAAGAGCATCGCCAAAGCATGAAATGAAGTTAAACAATATAATACAAATTGTCTGTTTAGAGGACAGGGTGAAATAACCATGGGTAAGGGAAGCTGAACAGAAATCCTAGAAAATGGTACTACTCCCTAGCTAGAATCCTGAACTGGAGCATTCCACATTTCAATATTTTTATCATTCAGGACGATAATAGCGTAAATACAAATATGAGCTTCTATATCAGTGTTTCTCAACCTTGGCACCTTGAAGATGCGTGGACTTCAGTTTTCAGGCTGGGGAATTCTGGGAGTTGAAGTCCACACATCTTCAAGTTGCCAAGTTGAGAAACACTATTTTATATGACAAACCTTAATGTATGGTAATTATGACTCATCTCTCATTGCTTTTCCTTGCAGTCTCTATTTGTATGTTGCAGTGCAGATAAAATTCCTTCTATATGTAGAAAGTTAATGTGACTTTATAATCTTTTGCCTGCTGGCATTCAGGACAAAACCAGCCAGGCTTGTATTTAGTTGTTCTCTACCTTAAGGTATTCAGTTTGTTATTCTTACTATTGTTAAAAAGGCTGCAGGCATTTGCAATAATTTTGCACAGCTTATCTTTTAAAAACAAAATGCTTTTATCTTTCACCAATCCTTTGCATAAGAAACTGGCTTTCCAGATTTTTAGAGTAAAAAAACTAAAGTACTAAAGTACTCTAACATAACAGACTAAGTAAAAGTGTAAATGTAGTAGATCTTCAGTTTAACAGTTTGTTCAGGACAAAGAGATGTTTGTTAAACCTGAACGTCAGTTATATCCAAAAGTTCCCTCTATCCCCATCTGGGAAGTTGTCTATTGGTACTTACCAAAAAAGCCCATTAAGAGAGGTCATTACTGATACCAGACTTAGGGACTGATTTTCTTCAGCTGGTCTGTCAGCAAGGAGGCATTAGTTCCGGCAAGAGCCAAGGTGGGGAAAGGTGCAAATCTTCATGTTCTCAGCTTGGCTTAGAATGGGCTCTTCTCCGAATATTCCTCTGTGCTGCCCCAAACATTTCAAAAACTTTTATCTGGTGCAGAAAGAAGCTCCTTCCTGTTTCACCATGTCTACTACACATTACATTATTACTGAGCCCCCCGTACTTAGCTGAAAGCACAGTTACTAGTCAGTACCAGTGGAAACAAACATTATTCCCCTCATCATGAAAAATATATTCTTGGTTTGTCTGGTTACAGATCAATGCTTCCTTTGGGACAAAACCTCTTCTTTATTTATGTGATCATCAGCAGAGTGTGGTAATGCGGGTTATGTGACATTATTTGCATCATGATGTCATTGTGCAATGATGTGGCTTCTATGGCTTATGTTTCTTTACTTTCTGATCCCAAGAAAAATTATATGTATAGAATTTTTTTACAAAGTTAAAAGATAAACACAAAAAAATAGAGAAGAAAAGTAGGAAAGGAAGAAGGATAAAGAAAAAAGTATTGAAAACAAGAGAGAGCAAAGAAAAAGATAAAGAAGCAACTTCTGATCTTTACAGCAGTTATAGACATACTTGATACCATTTCCCTCCTTCAAAATTACATAACGTAGTTCCCTTCTTCTCATATAAAGCCCTTTTTAATCGATAAATATAGAAATCACCAGTTCATTTTTATCCATTTTCAGCAAAAAGTCCATAAAGGATTTCCAGTCTTTTACAAAAGTAGTTGTTGTTCCTTCCTTAATCAAACAAGTCAGTTTAGCCATTTCTGCAATTCTACCATCTTCACGGTCCACTCCTCTGTTGTGGGTATTTCTGTATTTTTCCATCTTCATATGTATAATAACCTTGCTGCAGTTACCATACATAAAACCAACTGTCTATGAGTCTTTTCTGACTGACTATCCATAAGTCCTAATAATAAAAATTCTGGTTTCATCTGAATATTAATTTTTAAAATTCTCTGCATCATCATGTGCATTTGAATCCAATATTTCTTTACTTTTTCACAAGTCTACCGTGTGTGGTAAGATGTCCCTTTATGCTTTTCACATTTCCAACAAGAAGTGGAAGTACTTCCATACCGCTTAGATAATTTATCTGGTGACATATAACAAAAGTACATCGCTTTATAAAAATTATCTCTTAAGTTATAAGACGATGTGAATTTCAGTCCTTTTAACCACATTCTCTTCCATTGATCCATCTGTATATTATAACCAAAATTCTTTTATCATGCACTCTTTAACTTCTTGTTTTTCCATTCCAAATCTTAACAGAAGTTTGTACATTTTAGCAGTTACATGTTCATCATTTGTACATAATTCCATTTCAAATTCCATTGCATGTTGTTCTATACCTGGTAGCTTTTTATCCATATTAAACCTCTCCCTTAATTATGCGTATGAAAACCATTGAAAAATAAATCCCTCTGCAGTCACTTGTTCTCCTGATTTCATCTTAAGTTCTCCATTTTCTTGTACTAGCAAATCTTGATATAGGTAGTCCCCAGGTTAAGAATGGGTTCCATTCCCAAGGTCTGTCCTTAAGTCGAATTTGTACATAAGCCGGAACAGTATTATTGTAGTATTGTGTAATTAACTTGAAACTTTGTGTATTTAACTCAATTTTTGCTACAATGGGCTCCATTCTTAACTATGGGTCATCCTTAAACCAGGCGTTCTTACCTGGGGATTACCTGTATATTAGCCATTTTTCTTCGCCCACTGTTTCTTTTCTATAAAATGTGTCTTGGGCTGAGGTTGATAAAGGTATTTTTAGGCACAGCCTAGATTTATATTTGTTCCATATTCTTAATATGGCATTCCTAACATAATGATTTTTTAAGTCTACATTAATGTTATCATACCATTAAAAAAATGCCACCCAAACCTCAGGTTGTGTGCTTCTAATTCTAACATTCTCTTATTTCTTAATAAGCATTCTTTCATCCAACCATGAGGCTGTTAGCATTGGGCCCAGGAAGTCTAATACTTGAATATGATATAAGAGTTCTCCTTAAAAGAACCATTGTGATGGTACCATGGAACCAATCTTTCTCTGGTTATTATTTTAGCTTCTGCCATTTCTGAAAAGGATGGTTGGTAGTCTGCAGCCAATTTTGACATTTATAAGTCTAACAGTTATCTATCTCTTAGCTTCAGAAAGTCTCCTTAGCTGTCATCTTTCCACTGCAGTTCAGAGACTTTTGATTTATATTTCTCAATTTGACCATTGCCTAGTTTCATATATCCATTGCATTAGAGCACTGCTATTATGTTCAGTTTCAAGTTGGACTAATTCCATGCCAATTCTGATTCCTGTCTGGCCATCCTGCAACACTCACTGTATGCCTGTGCTTGTGATGGTCCACTTCATGCAGAATTCTAGATTGGAAATGTTTAAGTGATAGCTACCAACTATTTAAAAATGGAATTATCCTATTGTGATGGAATGTCTAACAGTCCCTGAGAACATGGAAGAGGGATTCTTAACTATTACAGAAAAGATTCCTGAATCCAGGGGAGGAAAGAAACATGAGAAACAGTAACTCTGCCTTAATTATACTAAATATGTTGAACTGGAGAATTATTTTCTCTGGCTTTCAAGATTCTGTTAAATACCCTACTAGCAATTACTATCTTTCCAGAAATCCCAGTGGTTCTTGCGTCCTGACTTTGCCTGCTTTGAAACACTTGATACCTATGGAGTTAAAGTATATAAATGGTTATAAATATTAACATGTAGATTTTTTTGCTATAATAGCCTTGGAACCTGAGCTGTTGTACTCCTTTATGATGTTCCCATAGGTATCTAGTATCTCTTGCCCGTAACAGAATGCTAGACTAGCTAAAGGCGTTTGATCTGATCCAGCACAGTCCTTATATTCCTATGTTCTAATATGCCCTTCTTGCTATGTACTAGAAGCCAAAGCCAAAGTACGTACATTAGGCAGCATCCTACATCACAATTCAGCCAGTATTCTCACTGTAGCCTTACCAAGTATAAAAAGGGCAAATGTTCTAGTTTCTGCTGCTTTCATTCAAAGTGCAGGTGGAAATGCAGTGCTGTTGTTTATTTTACCTCTTCTTCTGCAGCAAATTAAAATAATAGTTGGAAAGGAATTAAAAGGAAAGGAATAGGTGGAAAGGAATAGTTGGAAAGGAATTAAAATAATAGTTGGAAAGGAATGTCCCAGTTCCAACTGACTCAGCTATTCAAAGCACTCATGCTTCTACAACCTAGAAAATTTCAGTATATTCAATAACTCCAATTCCATTCTAGATATTTATTTTCAAGCAAGTATACATAGGATTTCATTTATGCAACCTGGTCATATACATTTCATTTGCACATGGTTCGGTGAGGCTTAAAAATATAATAGCTTTCTCAGTGTCTGGGCCAAGCACTCTTATTGGTAAGCAAATTTGCTTGTACAAAGGATGAATCTCATGAAATATTAACTGGAAATAGGTATAAGTCCATCCCTTATTTAACTGTTGTAGATGTGACTTTAAACACCTATCTCTTAAGGCCATATAAAGTATTAAGGAGGTATGCTGTGGAAAGCACATTGGCACAAGCAAATCATCTCTCCTTGATGCTTTAAAGCAGTTGCATTCTCTGGATGTCTGAGCATGTCTGCTTCATAATCTTGTGCTGGGTGTTGTGTGTGCAATGTACAAACAATACTTTCACTGGAAGCACCAGCAAAAACAAGCACCTTTACAATTTACGCATCAAGTGGGGAAAATCTTTGGCTATCAGGGTTGCATTAAGGCTTTAAGGATAGGTACTTTTCTCATGGCATCATGCTTGCCCAGCAACCCTTTTGAATGCTTTGGGGAACTTCTCTGCCTATGGTAGCATGGAAATACGAAGCTTTACTTTCACAATAACGAAAGCCATCATTGAAATACTTTTATTTTTCAAGTGAATACTCTCAGGATAGCTGTGTTCAACACTGAATTCAAGACATTGTTTCAAAGTTTCAGCTGGCTTCTCTTTCCTCGCCCTAGAAATATTAAAAACTGTACTGAGAGGGCAGTTTATAGTAAGTTTGTGAAGTTTTCACCAAGTTTATGAACTAAAGCTTTCAGAAACTTGATCTGTGATATATAGCAGTTCCCATAAATGTACATTCCCCAAAAGGAATGTAAACATGGAATCATTGATATTTAAATCTGTCATTCTTCCATTTTCTCCCTTTCTTACTGTAATCTGACAATATTTTTATTGCACTGAACTGAAAAGGAATCTTGCCTGCTTTCTGCACACTTGACACATTCAGAATATGTCAAGTGTACAAAAAATTGTTACTCATATGGATCAAATTCATTTTCTTATTTGAGCAAAAAAAAAAAGTTGTCATTTCTGATAGAAATTTTCTGAATTACCATCCAACATTAATGCACAGTATTTATTGTTGTGCTGAAAACCAAAATATTTAGAATAACTAGATAAAAACAATAATTTATTAAATTTATATTTATTTATTCATTAAATAAATATGAAGCCGCCCATCTCACTTTTGCATGACTCTAGGCAGCTTACAATAAAGCAAATAAAACACAAAATACATAATAAAAAACAAAAATGCATAGCAGCTGGGCATGATCTAACCTATCATCCATACAACCAGGAGAGAGGCTGTAACCTATGCCCAGGGCCCCAGGCTCGAGCACAGAGCCAGGTTTTTAAGGCTTTATGAAAGGCCAACAGGGACAGGGCCAATCTAATCTCATGGGGGAAGATGTTCCAAAGGGTGGGTAGGATAGGGTATATGCTGTATAAAATTCTAGTTCCTTTAAATTCTGCTGATTCAGCTGTTAAGATACATATACTTGATAAGGAAACATTAAAGGGGATTTGACATATTAGTCAGTAGCTTGACTTTCTAGTTTTTGTTTTTCCTAACATTTTGTAGAATTTCCTGCACCTGTTTTAATTTGATTTATGGAATTACTAGGTTTTTTCCCCCCTGTTAACTAAAAAAAAAAAAAAGTAGATTCAGACAAGGTGATTTAGGCCACTGAGTCCATCCCCTTGCTAAATGCAGGAATCCAAATTAAAGCATCCATGAGATGTGGCTTTCTAGCCTCCGCCTATATATCCATGGATGAAAAGTCCACCTAAGTTCTGGGTAGTTATTCTACTGCTTAAATGCTTTTAGGAATTTTGTCAAATACTCAGTGGAAATCTGCATTCTTGTAGATGATGATGATGGTGGTGGTGGTGGTGGTTGGTCGCACAGTCAGCCAGATGTTTAGACTGGATTTAGTATTTTTGTCCTTCCCCAGGACCTGGGATGGATAGATGTTGTTTAATAATAATAAAGGTATTATTGCAGGATATAAGCTTATTGTTGTTGTTGTTATTTAGTTCAATTTAGGCACTGCCCAATTCCAAACCAACTCTGGGTGGCTCCCAATTTAATAAGCACTAAAAATACAATACAATTATGGACTATGTAATTGTATAAATCCATTATTCATGTTCTTTATCTTTGTTTCTATGTGAAGACTGAATGGTAATTCCCTGAACCTTTAATTTGCTCTTTTACAGTCAACTAGCTCTTCACCAGTTAAGCAGGATTTGTCAAAGCTAATAAAGGTGTGGCCAGACTGTCAGTTTTTTCATTGCACTTCATTTTATTCTGGACATTTAAAGTCAGATGGTATTCCCTGACAATCTATCAGTCTCAAGCTTCAATCTTGCCTCTTTATCCTGCATCTCACAATATCCTGGCAGAATACATATTTTCTTATTGGAGAAGGCTAAACCAAAATAGTAGCCATAGTGTGTGTGTGTGTGTATTCTGTTTGAAAGTTTTATGTAAGCCTGTTGTTTTATTTTTGAAAGTTTTATGTAAGCCTGTTGTTTTATTTTTCTGCTATTCTGCTTTTGCCATGGATTTTGAAGCGTTTATGTGTTTGTAAACTAATGTTTTCTTTTTAAAGAACAGAGAACATAAGATTGTCAATAAAGAAATTAACTTATTTTCATTAACATTGCAAAAATAATTCACAAATTTGCTTCAATAATCTGATGGTTCACAATGGAACAAAGACACTGGAAGTAATTAGCTTTTCCCAAATGCAAATAGCAGATGCTGGCAAAGAGTTAGATCTCCTCAGTCTTACATTAACCTGACAAACTAGGTCAGAGACAGTCAAAGGCCAATAAAAGCAAATACTCAGGAACCAATTATGAGTAGGAAAATTGTTCTTTCAGGTGAGCTTTTAGAAAGAAAGAGAATTAACTTCATGTTGTCCTTCTAACATTTGCCTCTTTTCTCCTGAGAGGTCTATTGCTACCCCCCACATGCCACCTCATGCTTGCAATCTACTTTTTAAAAGCCTTTCAGGCTTTTGTATGAATGATGCCTTTGTCTCATTTGACCATAAATGTATAATTAGAACATAGTACAACCTCCAATCTATACGTTTGCTATAGTTATATAAACTGGGAGGGGAACACAGTGATTATAGATACCTCATTCAATTTGTAGTAGTAACCAAGAAGTCTGTTGTAGTTATAAGACTGAATAAAAAGAAGGAAATATAGAATAAAGGTCCTCATCATGAATGTGGCATGAGAGTTGCCCTAAATCTTGGTGATAGTTCTATAAAAAGGCAATTTGTGTAAACTAATTGCCAAGCAGAGAGGCACTGAAGTCCCTCTATTTGGTTCTGAATATGTCTGCTTAGCAATATGCTGTGGGTGAGCTATATTCAAGTATCGCCATGGATGAAATCCAGATTATATTTATAAATAAGTTTATTAATGTAAGGCTTTTGTGCACATTTTATACTTTTTTATTCTTTAGATAATAATAAATTGGCAAGCTCTAAGGCATTCTGGAAATTGGATCTTGAGTTTTTGATAAATAATGCTTATTATAGGGTTGCAAAGGAGTGCTGAGGTAATTTCTGTGTTAACTATCTTTGGAATTTAATGTTTTGTTTTTCTGTAGTTTGCCCAATTGGTGTCCATCTATAGAACCCTGGGACCAGAGAAGTTTCCTCTGATTGAACAAACCTTTTATCCAAATCACAAGGAAATGGTAAGAGTCAACAATAAACATAAATATCTATTCCTTCTACATGTGAGGGGGACAGCTATAATAATCCATGAGTTCATTTTATCTGTATATCATCCTCTTGTTTTATCTGGAGTGCCATATGTCTACTCATATGAAACATTTGCAACCCTGAAAATGGGGAAAACATTTCTAATATTTTTAAGCCCACAGATATTGAAATGAGAGATATTCTTTTTGGATGTACATTCAGATTAGGCAGCTCTGATTAAGTCTCAAATTGTGTCTTTTTGGTGGATTGCATAATCTGTGTGAAACTTTGACTTTAAAAATGCATTTGATTTAGATATTATTAACAAAAGGTTTCTGTGCTTATAAACAATCCTGACATGCTTGTCTTTCTCTTACCACCATTTCTCTTTCACTTTCAAGTATGCCATGTACTGTTTAATATACTCATTTAATATTGAAAAGTAAGTATTAGTCAATTGGCTTTCTATTTCTTCAAACCAGAGCCAAAATAGTGATTGAATGTATTGTTCCTCAAAAACTATGTGATGGTGAAAGTAAATGTATCCATTTTATTTTGAAAAATAAACATGTCCTACTTTTATTGATTGTGAGAAAAGGGAATCCAATGAAAGCAAAGTACTGGTATGAAATTTGAGTTAATAATTCAGCTTGTATAACTAATCAAAACTGCCATTTACAGAAATTCTGTGCAGTGTCAGAAATAATCATCTATAATGAATGGGTACAAATCTAATCTCAAAGCTTGAAAATGAAAAAAGGAAAGGAAAATCAAAATCTGATCTGTTAGTTAAATCTAATCTGACAAACTAGGTAGTGGGTAGAGATAGTCAAAGCCTGAGAAAAATTGTCATTTCTGTAGAAGTATGTAAGTATGTTCTTACTTACATGTGAGGATTTGAATTAGGTTTTTTCTTTCTTTTTCTGTGTACTGCTAAGTAAGATCTAATGTTCTCATTCCTCTATGCAAATTAGAAAAGTGAGTGCGAATCTTTAGCCTTTTATTCTATCCTTCAGGTTGGGCAGGAAGATATTATTTATAATTTTCTCATAGATTGTGTATTACATGGAATCATCTCCCATCTCAGAAGGAGAAAACATTCATTTGTAGCAGACCAACATACTGTGGTCAGTTTGGAACATTTATTTTGCATTTTCTCATGCATTTTCTCATGCATTTTCTGTTTAGTTGATGACCCTGATAAAGGAATTTTGTAATTCTACTTCAGCAATATTGACTGTGTGCATTTTAAGATTTAAAGTTAAAAAGTATGGTATAATTTATCTCTGCTTTAAAAAAACAAATTGGATTCTGTTTATCTCATCAGAGGCATGGTAGAATTAAAACCTCTTATCACACATTCTAGAATACATGGCCAGGAAATAGCATTATTGGAATCATTTCAATTTTTACATTTTTTTACCTTTTAATTGCTAGAAAAACAACACAAGTTGTGACAACTCTATGTCTCACCCACCAGGGTTAGAGGGAATACACCAGATAAGATGCCTCTAGAAGATAAGTTGTAGCAGAGGAAACTACTGTACGGCTACCCAAAGCAGTCAGCAGTTACTTGTAGCAAGACCAGAGTGTGACAACCCAGAAGCCTTCTGGAAGTGAAGGTTGGAGACCCCCAACTTTCTTGTCTAAGGCTCAACTGATACTGAAACCAGCACTCTCATTTTGAAAGAATTTTAACTTGAGCAAAGCACGTGTTTTTCCATTCTTGAAAGCAGGCAAAGGGACACCACTAACCTGCTCCTTAATAATTCAGTAGCAGAGATTATTTCTCTGGAGAAGAGTGGCTGATAGCTGTAGTTACTGAATAGGCTCTCCCCTGGAGTATAGGAGGACACAGTAGAGAATTTATGTATTCATTCATTCATTCATTCATTCATTCATTCATTCATTCTGTGTGTATGTATGTATGTATGTATGTATGTATGTATGTATGTAAACCTTGGTTATTCCAGGGTAGAGATAGATAACAGTATGCTGACTATACCCAGGCGTAAAACCTGATTGGAAGGAGATTGTGGGAGGAAGGCGTTAGTGAACCCTACTCAAGGGAGCAGAAGGGCCAACCCACCACATCCCAGACACGTACACATTTGCATATATGCATCTGTTATATTACCACTCAGTTTCATGATTGGAAAGGATACTCAAACTCTTCCAGTTTGAGTAAATATTGGAATCATACAGTACAACTGTAGTTGGGAAGTCTTGGAACATCAGGTAGAAGAATAATCAGTTGGTGATTATGATGAATACTTATCTCATTCTTTTTCTTCCCTTATTCAGGGAAGGGACATGAAATCCTAACTGGAAATCATTACTAATAGCACATGAAGTGAGATTTAGACCATGCCATTTCTTCAAGATATTTTAAAATATATAATACTTTGAAAATGTACTGGTATATACTATGTCTGGAAGCAGCATATATTGTCTTTTTCTGATGTTAATCAAAAAATTAGTGTCTGATCTCATTAAACTTTGCTTTGAAAGCAAAGTTTTAGATCAAACTTTAGTGCTTTAATATAATAGTGCTGTTAGAAAGGTGGCTCTTGGTGACTTCCCATTTTTATTTAGGCTGTTCATTAATATTTTCTATATGTGTACAGAGCAAGATAAAAACAATTTTGCTGTATTAACTATATAGTGCAAACTTTGTTCCTATAGTAATAAAATAAACAAAAAAGCCAGTTCAAAGATAGAAAGTTCAAACTCCAGATTTATTTTAAGATTAATTTCACAATACACTGTCTTTTTGAAACAGTTCTTAGATTCCAGTGAAGTTTCAGTTTTAATCATTTTTATAGAATTATTAAACTATGAACACTATTTAAATCTTCTTATATCTCAAAATGAACAAATGTTCTGCCACTGACTTTGATATGGTCAGTACTATACTTTGTTTTTATCTATCTATCTGTCTGTCTGTCTGTCTGTCTATCTATCTATCTGTCAATCAAATTCGTCACCACCCATCTCGTTAAAAAGTGGCTGGACGGTTTTAATTGCTGTCTTACACAGAGCGCACTTTTGTGCCTCTTGTCTTCATCTATGGACTACTGTATGCATACTTTCAATATGTAATTAGCTAGCATTAACTATATGGTATAATAGCTTGGAGGAAATTTATCATAAATAAAGAGGCTTAAAAATGCCAGTCCTTACTTTAAAAAAAAATTAAATACTTGCAGTTAATTTTGAAATGATCTAGATATGCCGGAGTTGATTCTTACAAAAATATTTTAAATATAAACATCAATTTCCCACTTTACAAGCTAGTTTTAAAACACCCTTCTTCATTGTAAGAAATTAAGTATTTATGAAGGTTTTGAAGATTAATAAAGGAAATAATGAAAGAAACTCAACTTACTACTGCCAGTTCTTGTCTGATGCTTATGAATTAAAGGTTTTAATTGATTTATAATGGAATAATAATTCTGCTTTCAAGATCATTCCTATGTATTCAACAAGTCTTCAGGCTTTTTCAACTTTTCACAAGGAACCCGATGAGGTTTCAGTATGAACAGGAAAATAATTCCTATCTAAACTATCCCTAATATATATGAATCTGCATGGAAGTTTTGCATTATGAATGTAATTAATTAATCACAAAACCATTTCTTGTGCTAATGGTTCAAAATTTCCAAAATATGCTATCCGGGAATCAATCAGGTTCTCAACTTGAATTTTTGTAGTTCTCTTGAAAAAAAAAAAGAAAGAAACTAACCTGTTCTGCACTGATTATCACTTCTCCGTTTTTGGCATTTTGTTTTCCTCCTGTCACATTCCTTTGTTTATTCATTCAAACAGCAAGATTTGGTAACCAAGTCCATCTCAAACTACAAAACTATTTTTCTTTTTTCTTTTTTTCCACAAAAAGTATGTATTTCTATGATTTGTATATTGTAGTCATATCTCCCTGCTAGTACTGCAACATCATAATTATTATACAACAGAATGACCAGTCTTAATTTTTGTTTTACAATATATCCCAATTCATTGGATTATAACACCTGTTTTTGATTATGATAGATGTTATAGTTATGAACAAATCTTTCAATGCCATGTTGAGACAAGTCGAGGCATAAAAAGTAGCATAAAGAGAAATGAAAGCAAACATTTCAGATGACATATACTAAAAGAAAAATTACCATGTATGATCTTGGAAGAGCAAAAAATTATCTTTCACATTTTTTTACAGCTGCCTATCATATCTTATTTTTTTAAATTCTTTTGTCTTAGAATACTTTTTAAAAGAAAATGACTATAAAAGAGAATCTTTTTTAATTCAGAAGTACTGTTTTGGATTAAAACAGTATTATTTTAATCATTTCACATTTTTCAGTTTATTAACCAAAGTAGAAATTACAATTTTAATAAACTTCACTTTTTAAAAATAAAAATTATTTCTCAGAAAACTTGTAGAAATAACTGTAGAAAGCAGCTACTGCCAGGAACATTATTTTTATGTTTGTCTGGATGCCAGTTCTGCATATTCTGTGCTTTATTTGCACTGCACAGTTCGCTTTTGTTTCTAAGCAAGAGACAATTGTTGGAAGTTCAAAGGAGCATTAAGCAGGCAACGTGGGATAGACTTAACCTCTCACTTTTCCCCCCAAAATTATTTATGGTTCAGTGATATCAGCAAACTCTTTCTCTACAGGAGGACCACCACGATACCAATGGCAAGTTCCATCACTGCGCTTAATACAGGCGTAATGCTTTGCTTGATATCCATAGACCTTCTTCTCTGTCAGCCAATCTGTCCATAGGCATTCATTGGGTGTAGTGATGGAACAGGGCACTGAATAGCAGGCAGAAATCTAAGTGCAGAAAATTACATGAGTTCCCCATTTTTCTTCTTTTAAATCATATTTGACACTGTGTAG